AGAAATTACTGTACTAAATTCTAGTCATTTGAATGGGGTGATCCTTAGTCGGGAGATAAAGTAACCCACATGACACAAATTTTAATAACCAATTAATCAAGTTAAATAATCAAAGATATTTTAAAAATTCAAAACTATATTATTAACGATTAAGTTATGATTCTTTGCACTAAAAAACAAAATTTATCATTCACTTATAGCCAAATACATATGTGCAAAATAATGGTCAAAAGGAATGAGAAAATTTTATCTTCTAATTAGATATCATAAAAAAAATTGAAAAGTAAAACATAAAATACAAGGAATTTAAAAAGGATTTTGAAGATACACCATACTAAACATTACAACAATATTTAAATGAAATTAAAAGAAAACTAATAAATATAATCTAATAAATTTTCAAATAATTAATATTTTTAATATATGTTTGTAAATTTAGGGTATTATTTATATTTTTTTAAATATATATATAGGGTGCTAATTAAAATTTTTTCTAAAGACCATAGGGGCCATGGCCCTCTTTGGTCTACATGTGACTTCTTCACTGGCTACTTTTGTGAATATAATTTTATTCATTAAACAAGTAGTAGTGATTAATTTTTAAAACATTTGTTTTATTTTTCCATAATTAATTTGCACATGAAATTTAATTGATTTATTTGGATTGTTAACTGTTAAAGTTTATTTAACGTAAAAAAATTCATTTACTTGAAATGTAATTGATTTATTCACATGGCAGCTACTTTGATTCTCCCTTCTCTTGCCTCTGCCCCTTTCTTGAATATTGAGAATTGCAGGCTCTGCTGCTTTGCTCCTGACATAACCTAATTTTTAATTAGTTAATTTTAATATTTTTAAATATATATATATATAAGAAAGAAAAAAGAGGGAAAAATCTTGAATTTTCTAAAACATTAATTCCTCAAGTTTTAAAATGAAATTTTCAAAATTTTAATCTTTCTAGTGATGGGAAAATTAATAACAAAAATTTGTCCAATAAAAATCAAGATTAATTTGTTTAATGCTATTCGTACTCAACCGGAGATATTTTAAAAGGGTTGTTTTCATGTGTAGGGACTTAAATGGGACGTGGACTAAATTTGAGAACTAGAATGGCAGTTGGGTAGACCCCGTGGGCTAAAATGCAAATCTGGCCCCCTAAACGGCGTCGTTTCATGGAATAGGAAAAACCCATTTTGGATAATTTTTCAAAACCATTCGGCTCTTCTCCTCCCCGATCCCTCTGTCATGTGCAGCTACTGTCGAATTGGCTTCACGTCTCGGTCGTCTGGGATGCAGCGACAAAAACCCATGCCCTTTTCCAGTCTGTCCTGGGCCTCACATGCAGAGAATAGCCAAATGGAAGATTAAAGAAATCAATTTTGTATATTTCAGATCAATGGTGGAGGGGAAAAGATGAGAAAAGGGTAGAGGGCTAGGGCTCTGCTTTGATTCTTTTATAAATAGAGAAGGGATGAGGAGGGTTTAAGAGTTTTTTTAGAGTAGGCAGAAAGACATGAAAAAAGAGAGAGACCAAGGGAAAAAGAGGGAAGAGTAGAGAGGGAGCAGTTGGAGGGTTCTGGGTTTAAGGCGGTTCCCTTTTGATTTTTGGAACATTCCCTTTGATTTGGTCCTTTTTTGGAGGATTTTTAGAGAAGATTTTCATTTCCGTGAAGCAAACAGTGCTCTGAGAGTGCAATTCCCAACAAATTTCTGACAATTTTCCAGCAACCCTCTTTTGCAGTGTTTCTGCTTCTTTCAGTCATATCTAGGTAGAATCTGTATCGAAGAGCACAAAGGGTACCTCAAGGGGGCTTGCCTCCGGGATTACCCCAAATGGGGTACCCAGAATCAATTAGCCCCATGAAGTGATAATTTATGTGTTTATTTTCCTATTGAATGGCTACATGCCTACATCTATGGTTGCTGTGGATGTTTGCAATGGTTTAAAGTTTGATTTTGATAAATGAGATTTTTTAATATGTATATAGGTGTAATCAATATTTTTTAAAATTTTTAATTTACATAAAAAGATAAAAAAATAGATATTAATATTATTTGAATGATTTTAATTAAATAATTCATAAATTAAAAATTAGTTTATACTTTTACTATATAAATTAATTATCTAAAAATATATTAATTATATTCTTAACTTTGAAAAAACCCTTGATAAAGTACATGTTATTGTATTTTGTGCCTTTGAATGACTTAATGAACATCATGGTTACTTTCAGCTCTGAGTTGATTTCCAACCTTTGGTGCATGTTTTTGTATTTCATTTGCTTTTCGCAGATCTGTATTTCCCCTTCTGGGCTGATGGACCGGGTCGACCCGAACCCAGCAGCATATGAAAAAAAAAAAAAAAATGCAGTGGGCTTATGTTATTATCTGGTCGTCTTGTTATTGGCAAATAAGGAAAGAAGAATAAAAGATTTTGCACCTTAAAGATTTTTTTTTTTTTGAATAAATTATCAAGGAGCGGGTTTGAAACCCACCCATAAGAGATGGGATAATGCACCTCAAACTGGTTGGATGTTAGTTGACCCGAAAGATCAGGTGTGATTTTGCACCTTAAAGTTAATGACTTTTTTACATGAAAAATGGATTTAATAATCTTAATTAATCTATTAATAATATAAATAATTTAATTATAATATTTTTTTAATAAAAATAAATAATTTTAAATTTAAATCGCATAATATATAAAAAAATTATTTTATGAATTAGAAATCGACTTTTACTTAATGAACATTATCATATGAGTTGCTTTTGAATAACTTATCTATTGAGTTGGTTGTAGTTATATGTAAATGCATATGGTATGGAGATCTTTGAACCTAATTTTTTTGATGAGGACACATCTTTGTAAAATATATTTTCGTTACTATTATTAATAGATGAAGGGAATTCGCTCGCTGTGTCTTTTCTCTCTGCTTTAGTTTTGGCCACGAGATTTTTTTTATCCGGCAGTTGTTTGTGTTTTTAGTGGTTTTTATGTTTTGGTTTCTTTTCCTCTTTCCCTCATGGCTGTAGCTATGTGGCTAGAGGGGGTGTTGAGGAAACTATGGTTTTCACTCCTTTGTTGGGTGAGAAAGTGGAGGAGGTGGTGATGGCGGCCCGGATGACGACGGTTGGAGGGCGGTGGTTGTCAAGCGAAGAAGGACGCTCGATTGGAGAAGGTTGGGCTGATGTGCGCAAGAGGACAAGGAAGGAGACCTGTTCTTGTCTTGGACTGGCTACGGTTGTCTTCGAGAATAGTGAAATGGACGGGGCTGGCGGCAGGAGAGAAAGGTGGGCAAAGGACTAGAAGGAAAGCTACCATGGGTAGCCATGGCGATGTCGGACGTGTAGACCGCTGCTGAAAAGACCAAAAAACTAAATATTAAAATAATAAATTATTAATCTAAATAAATATTAAATATATTTTAAAGATATTAAAAGGTTAAAAAATTAATAATTTAATTACATGTTTGTACTCAATACTCACAAGCTAAGATTTAGTTTTATTGTATCGAATTTTAACTGTAATCGTAAATTTTTTAATGATTTAATATTTTGAAAATATATGAAATATATTTAATATATTTAATATTTATTTTAATTAACATTTTATATATTTTTAAAGTAATAAAAAAATAAAAAATTAAAAGATAAAACACCAAAATGTATTCTCAAACAAAGTCAAAACCTTAGTTTCCTTTAGGAAGTTAGGGCAAAGTAATAGTCAAGTGTGGACTTTCTTGAATCATTAATTTTAGGTGTAGTGCCTATAAAAATTATGTCCATTGGGCATACGATAGAGTCGATCGGATTTCTGGAATTTTCCCAAACTACTTAGTGTGGTTTTAAACCAACTATAAAGTATAAAATCTTAGCAAGTAGTAAGTGGAATTGATGTACCAAAAAAAAAAAAACTAAGTGAAATTGATAATGGTTATATCATGCTCTATTTTTTTATTAGTAGTTTTGTATTTTATTACTTGTTATATTAATAATTTTGTCTCATAAAAAAAAAGAAAAAAATGTGATTATTCATGAAACATAAAGATGTGAGAAA